AATTCCCCCTATTTTTTTTTCTCTCCCGAGTCCTTAATTCCTCGCAATAAATATACAAAAATAGAATAAATTAGGTTAAAAAATACAAGGCAACACTGGCAAACACAGCGTTAAAGGGGGGGGAGGAAAAACCACCCAAAATCCCGGTGGGAGAGGAATAAATAGGGAGAAAAAAAAAAGCAAAAATGAATCAGTTTTGGGACTGAGCCCTTTGGGTTTTTTTCTTCTTGAAATGTGGGAGGGGGGGGAGAAAAAAAAACAAAACACCCCCCCCTTGAAAAACCTCCCCCAGCTCCCCGGGGAGGGGCTGGAAATCCCATTTCCACCCGTTTTTCCAGGGGCAGGGGGAGGGGACACCCGTTTTGCCCCGTCTTCCCCCGGGGAGGAGGTTGATAATAATACTCTGAAACTGCTGATGAATGACAGGGACAATAAATAAACCCCGGGGAGGGAGGGGGCTCTGGGGGGGCTCAGCCCGGGGCCCCCCCGGCCCCCGCCTGCTCCTGCAGCCCCAGCAGGCTGTAGGTGATCCTCTTCTGGTGGCCCGGCAGCCGCACCCCGATCCGCTTGATGTCCCTGCAGAGACAGGGAAAACGGGGATTAAACAGGGATTAAACAGGGATTAAACAGGGATTCGTGGGGTGATGGAGCCGGGAATGGGGCTGCGGGAAAGGGCGGGTGGGAGGGATCCAACCGGACCTTGGATCAGGGAAACCCCCACGTGGTTCCTGAGGGAGGGGTGGGCACGGATTGTCCCATGGGATGGTTCATCCTGAGGGATGGGTGGGTGGGCGTGGATCATCCCAAGGGATGGGGGGATGGACGTGGATCATCCCAAGGGACAGTTCATCCTGAGGGATGGATGGACCTGGATCATCCCAAGGGATAGACCGACATAGATCATCCCAAGGGATGGATCATCCTGAGGGATGGGTTAATGGACATGGATCATCCCGAGGGATAAACTGACATGGATCATCCCAAGGATGGACATGGATCATCCCAAGGGACAGTTCATCCTGAGGGATGGATGGACGTGGATCATTCCGAGGGTTGGTCCATCCTGAGGGATGGGTGGATGTGGATCATCCCAAGGGATGGACAGACATGGATCATCGCAAGGGATGGGTGAATGGACGTGGATCATCCTGAGGGACAGTCCATCCAGAGGGATGGATGGATGTGGATCATCCCATGGGATAGGTGGATGGACATGGATCATCCCAAGGGATAGATGGATGTGGATCATCCCATGGGATAGGTGGATGGACATGGATCATCCTGAGGGATGGGGGGATGGACGTGGCTCATCCTGGGGCAGATGGACGGACACGGCTCATCCCAAGGGACGGATGGACACCGTGACTCATCCCGGCCTCTCCAGCCAAGGAACATCTAATTTTATCCCATCCCTTGGGCCGCCAAGGCCATGGAAGTGGTTTCCGTTCCCAGCACATCCCTGAGCCCCGGGATTGGGGGGGGGACAGTGTGGGAATATCCAGGGGACACCACGGGCATATCCAGGGACACTGTAAGAGCAGTGTGGGGACACCACGGGGACACGAAGGGGACACCCCCCGGGGACAGGACAGGACAGGGACACACCATGGGGACAGCATGGGAATGCTGAGGGGACACCACGGGGATGGAATGGGAATATTGAGGGGACAGCAAAGGGACACACCATGGGGACAGCACGGGAACGTCAAGGGGACACTGAGGGGACACTCACTCGCTGGTCATCTGCAGGACCTTCTCGATGGTGCTGTAGCCCGAGGCCATGAAGGTCTCGGTGTACTGGGGCATCCGGATGGACTCCAACCACTCCGGGACGGAGCGGAACGGGACACCCTCGGAGCCGCTGGTGCTGGGCAGGCGGATGGACACCCTGGGGCACGGAAAGGGGTGGGAAGCGGTGAGAAAATGGGAAGATGACAAAAAACCCCCAACCGGCGCAGAAACGAGAGGTTGGGAAAACCTCAGGGGAAAAGGGAAGGGTGTGAAAACGAGGGGAAAAAATGGAACGATGCGGAAAAATGTGTCGAAATGGAGAGATGGGAAAAACAATGGGAGGATGGGAGGGTGCAAAACTCCATGGGAGAGCGGGAGGGTGCAAGAAACGATGAAGAAAAGGAAGGGCAGAAAGATATTGTGGAAGAGAAACGATGCAAAAAACGCTGCAGGAGCGGAAAAGGGGCAAAAACGGGGCAGAAATGGAAGGAGGGAACAAAAGAGATGCCAAAATGGAAGGGTGGAAAAATGAGGTGGGGAAAAAAGAAACGGAAAGGTGGGGGGGAAAAAAAACAATGCAAAAAGTGGAAGGGTGCAAAAAATAAGGAGGAAATTAAAAAAAAGGGCGTGAAAGTGGAAGGATAAAAAAAAAACCCGAAAGGATGAAAAAAACGACGTGAAAACGCAAAGATGCCAAAAAATTTTAGGAGAATGGAACTGGTGGGAAAACGTTGCAGAAATGGGAAGATGCCAAACAAATAATGCAGAAACGTGATGATGAAATGGTGGTGAAGAAAGGAAATGGTGCAAAAAGGGATGTGAAAATGGGGAGGTGCCAAAACCGAGGTGGAAACGGAGATGTCAAAAGGGACGTGAAGGTGAAGAGATGCAAAACCTGGCACAAAACAGCACCAGGGGAATGCAAAACTACGGAAAATGACACAAAAATGGTGCCAAAAGCAGCGGAGGACACAAAGATATGTTGGAATCAGAGAATCCTGGGATGGTTTGGTTGGAAGGGACCTTAAAGCCCATCCAGTGCCACCCCCTGCCATGGGCAGGGACACCTTCCACCAGCCCAGGTGGCTCCAGACCCCGTCCAACCTGGCCTTGGACACTCCCAGGGCTGGGGCAGCCACAGCTGCTCTGGGTAACTGTCCCCCATCCCCCCATCCCAGAGCTCCCCACACTCACCGAGGGTCAAAATCCGCCAGAGCCTTGAGGGACTCGGGGGCGCGGATCAGCTTGTCCAGGATGCTGACGATGTCGGCGAATTTGGGGCGCCGGGCGCGCTCCTGCTGCCAGCACTGCATCATCAGCTGGTAGATGGCTGAGGGGCAGTCCAGGGGTGCAGGGAGCCTGAAACCCTCGTTGATGGCCTTCATCACCTACGGGGGGGGAGGAGGAGGAGGTTGAGTGATGATCCCCCCAAAAAATCTCCGTGTTCGCACAAATCACAGAATGGTTTGGGTTGGGAGGGACCTTAAAGCTCATCCAGTGCCAACCCCTGCCATGGGCAGGGACACCTCCCACCAGCCCAGGTTGCTCCAAGCCCTGTCCAACCTGGGCTTGGATGTCCCCCAAACCCTGGTGGTGCAGGGGGGTGCTCACCTCGTGGTTGGAGAGTTCCCAGTAGGGCCGCTCGCCGTAGGACATCACCTCCCACATGACGATGCCGTAGCTCCAGACGTCGCTGGCCGAGGTGAACTTGCGGTAGGAGATGGCTTCGGGCGCCGTCCAGCGGATCGGGATCTTCCCGCCCTACGGAAACACCGGGGTCAATTCTGCACCCCCCAAAAACCACCTCACCTTGGCCAACCATCCTGACATGAACAACCACCCCAACAATCAACCACCCTACTTTGGACAACCCACCACCCTTCCGTGGCCAAGGCACCATCTCCACCTTGGTCAACCACCCCACCTTGGTCAACCACCCCTTCAGGGCCAACCAACCATCCCACCACAACAAACCACCCACCATGACCAACCCACCACCGGCCACGCCCAACCACCCCCCTCTCCGTGGTGACACTCACGCTGGTGGTGTAGGTGGCTTCAGGGTCATCTTCCAGCACCCTGGAGAGCCCAAAATCGGACACCTTGCACACCAGGTTGCTGTTCACCAGGATGTTCCTGGCTGCCAGATCCCGATGGACGTAATTCATGTTGGCCAAGTACTTCATGCCGGCGGCGATGCCCCGCAGCATCCCCACCAGCTGGATGACGCCAAAGTCCCCCTCTTTTTCCTGGGAAAAGGGGAGAATCCAGTCTGGAATCCATCTGTCATCCCACCTCCCGTGGTGGGTGTTTGTTCCACCAGCACGTGGTCCTTGTCCCCAGGTGTCACTTACCCGCAGGAATTTATCCAGTGCCCCGTTCTCCATGTATTCCGTGATGATCATGAAGGGCTTGTCTGTACAAAAACCAGGCCCAGAATGGGTAACCCCCCCCCAAAATCCCTCCAACCCCCAACTGAAAGAGCTCCAAAACCGAAAAACCACATTTGAATCCCCCCAACTTCCTCCAAACCCTCCCAAAATCCTCAGCTCCACAAGAACGCTGAAGTTGC